CGACACTGCTTTACCACTGCTTTTTCAATTTTGGCCTGTTCATGTTCATGTCTGTTTCTTACTAGTGTCTTAAATCGAGAATCTTTGTTGGTTGAGAATGGACTAGTTTGTGTTACCGAATAAAGTTTTTTATTTCTTTATTTATTGCTGTTAAGAATTGTTACTTGTTATCATGTGTCGGATCAATGCATTATCAATACATGATATGTTAATCATAGAACTGCTGTGGTGTTGATTAAACAGTTAGGCTAAATAAATAATACATGGTTTAAGTTGTGCTTTACTAAAAATGTAAAAGCATTTTTTTTTTTTTTATTAAATCTTTGTACTGCATGTACACTACCTTGGTTTTATCATGTTCATGGAAAACTTATTGATAAGAATTGTTGTTCCAGGTGTTAATTTTCACTTATGAATAATTTGCCAAGATCTTATTGGTTGTTGTACCAATGTTAAAAACCCTTAAATAACTTAAAAAGGTGATTCTTGATTCTTGAACTTAGCAGAAGTCTTCTCTCTTGTTCGTTCTGGTGTTATACATTGTAATGAAGACTATTGTGTTTGCTTTGCTGGCTGTGGCTGTGGGTATGTAGATTTCTCTTATAATGTCAAATATTAGTAGGCTATCTCCCTACACAGTGACCTGTAAAATTCCTTAGTCTTTAAGATTAATTTCAGACTTAAAATGTTGGTTGATCAGATAAAACAGCAAAATATGAAAAACAAACATCAGTTCATGTACTCAGACACAACTAGTTTTAAAATAATGATTTTATTTACTTTATTTTGGGCACTTTGTGAACAATTAAACTCTTTTTATGAAGCTTGCAGTGAAGATGATAAAATCATTGGAGGTTATGAATGTTCAACCAACTCCCAGCCCTGGCAAGTCTACCTTACTTACGATAATGGGGAACGCTGGTGTGGAGCATCTGTGATTAATGAAAGATGGCTTGTTTCTGCTGCTCACTGCTACGTTTCGTGAGTATAACTTTTATTTACTAGTACTACATTTATGTTAAACCTCACCAATCTCCTTTTTCCTTATAGAACAACTTTTTAAAAAGGACTAATAGCAGCTGCATGTTAACATGTGTATTGTGAATACACTGAAAATGATGATTGTAAAATGTAACAGATACAGAATGTTTAAACCAAAGGCTTTTAAAAAAGTTACACATTCAATTCTAAAATAAAGATGAGAGTCCATTAACCAAACATTTGAGACTATCCATAGACATAATATGTAGGTAGGCAATATTGCTGATAAAAGTTGTATTAGAGCCCAGTAACATATGAGTTGTTTGTCAAATAGAGCTTCTCGTCTTACTGTCCACCTGGGAGAGCACAATATCGACATTGAAGAAGGCACAGAGCAGCGGATCGGGGCAGAGAAAGTGATTCCTCACCCGGACTATAATGATAATACGATTGACAATGATATCATGCTGATCAAGCTGAAAGAGCCTGCCATCTTCAACCAGTATGTGCAGCCAATCCCTCTAGCAACCAGTTGCTCTTCTGCGGGGGATCAGTGCTTGGTTTCTGGATGGGGAAATCAGATCACCACTGGAGGTGAGATGGCTGAGTAATGAAAATATTTTGTGTTATAGAACAGTTCCGATCTTGATTTGATCCAAGGCCAATATGCCGAGCATCAGTGCTGGAACTATGTTATCACTCTGCTTCTTCGTGTGTTCCAGACAGACTGTTGGTCTGTGTATTACTGGTGGAGATTTTTCAGTGACTGCAGGTTACATCAATGTGCCAGTAGGTGGTGATATGTAAAGGCTGGAATACACTGCATGACTTTTGCCCAAATTTCCAGTTTGGATGAGTTAATGCTAGTTTCAGGAAGTCAGTCTGCAGATTTTGCCAAATCGAAGTTGACGGATCAAGCACAATTTATCTGGAGGGTGACGTGACGGTTAAGTCTGCATCCTCCGTTAAGCAGCCAAAGAAGAAGATGTGTCTTTGTCAAGTAGTTTCCTGTAACCTCTGTTGAGTCCATGTCCATAGTTTTTTCATGCTTTGTTTTATTTGAACTATTAAACCTACCCTAACCAACCTATGCGCATCCTATGCATGTAAAAACAAATTTTCACGTATAAATTGCACCATAAACACACTGCGTGCTATAGAGACGCATTTAGTGTGATCAGGTTGCTATCTATCTATCTATCTATCTATCTATCTATCTATCTATCTATCTATCAATCAGTTATGTACAGGATTCAAATCTTTAACGTTGTTCTTGTACTCTTTTTCCAGTTGACTATGCTTCTACGCTGCAGTGTCTGAATTTGCCTGTACTGTCAAGGGCACAGTGTGAGGGTGCGTATGGATGGCAAATAACTGAAAACATGTTCTGTGCTGGATTCATGGAGGGAGGCAAAGACTCATGTCAGGTACATTGACGTAGGCTTCTTTTTTTTTTTTGTCTGTTATATAATTTCATAGAAAATCACACATTTCTTCTTTTCCTTTTCCAAATATGCTCAGGGTGATTCTGGCGGTCCTGTGGTGTGCAATGGGGAACTGCGAGGAGTTGTTTCCTGGGGTTATGGCTGTGCTCAACCTGGCTATCCTGGGGTTTATGCTGAGGTGTGCCGCTACACTGACTGGGTCAAATCCATCATTGCTAACAACTAACTGTTTTTTCAGTCGAGTTGGACCTTTAATTAAAATTATTTTTATTTTTTTTCTGAAATATCTGTGGTTAATTTCAGCTTGGAACAATAAAAGTGTTTCTGTCCATTCATTTTAAATGGATATAGCCTAGTATTTTAAGTTTTCTTAGCCAAGGTTGCTCTTAGCCCAAAATGTAAACCCAAAAAGGGAGAGTCAAATTGCTATTCCTTGTGTTCACAATCACAGACTTGTGATATCAGAAATCTTGCTGACCATCATCAGGGGAATTTAAAGAGACAATAGAGATAAGAAAGGGATAACACACAGTCAGCTGGTCATTATTGCTAGATAATGGGAAAAAAATGCAATCTGGATTGGTTTATTTTGTAAAAATGGCTGAATAGTTGTACATTACCTTGCTTATTACATGGCTGTTTACACATGGACATGATATTGATTTGAGTTTAAATTCTTTAATAATAAAAAATAGCTGGTTCACATGTAAAAAAACAAACAATGGTAGTCAGAATTTGGTGTTAACAGCATAAAAGCATGGATCCATACGGCCTTGAATCAATGATTCAGACTGCTGGACTGGTGGTGTAATGGTGTGGGAGTATTTTCTTGCACATTTGGCCTTTTAGTATCAACTGAGCATTGTTAAATGCCACAACCTACCTATTGTTGCTGACCATGTCCATCCCTTTATGACCACAGTGTACCCATCTTCTGATGGCTACTTCCAGCATGATAATGCACCATGTAACAAAGCTCAAATCATCTCAAACTGGTTTGTTGAACAAGACAGTGAGTTCACTATACTCAAATTGCCTTTGGGGTGTGCTGGAATGGGAGATTCACAACATGGATGTGCATCAGGTGACAACAAATTGGAACGAAACATTAAGAGTATTTGTCCATTTCCATCTGTTTGTAAGTCGAAGTAATCACGCCGGTTTGGAGACGAGGTGTTGAAAGAAATGTGACCTTTGGGGTTCGTTTATTTATTCAGTGAGGAAAGGATCTGCTGTTGAACATTTCAATCTTTTTTCTTTTGTTTTCTTTCTTTTTTGCCACACAGAGAACATACTGGTTTTATTATGTAATGAAACTAATTTTCTCTTTACCTATATTGTGAGTGTAACAAAGTATTTTAAAGGAAAAATAACTTTTAAATTCCACTTTTTTGCTGAAATTGTAGAGGGAAAGAAAACATGGCTGGTGAAATTCGAGAAATATTACAAATCTCCTCTAAACAAAACAGTGATTCTGCACTTAAAAGTTGTAAATGTGCATTATTCCTTTTGAATGTCATTAGATCTCTGCAGTGTAACTGATGCAATTGGAACAATGCATGTGAGAGTGATTCACCTGACACTAGTGGCTCTGCCTCTGATTCTGATTGGGAGTGTCATTTCATTGGGGAGTCTTCGTTGATAAATAAAGCATGCAAGAGGGGAAGTTTGATAAATGCTTATTTTTAGGCATCATGCCTAACATGCAACACATCATGCATTGCAATGCATCAATGACGTATTCGCCATGCTTTCCTTTTGTGTAATTATGTAATGTGATTTGATGACATATTGACTAATGGCTGCTTTAAACTATAGCTAACTATTAATTATTAGAGGTTTTTTTCTTGTAGTGATTGAGTAGTTAAACAAAAAAAAAAGTTCACGGTCTGAAGTTGTGCTTCACTCAAAAAAGTAAAATAGCTCTTAATCAAACAAACGTAATATTTAAATATCAATGGGAAAAATTAATGTAACACTTTACACAAGGTTATATATTTAATTAATCAGTGCTTATGAGTAAGTATGTTACTACATCACCTTAAAATAAAGTGTTACTAAAATGATATGTTTAAATTAATTCAATATATTAATCCTCCACGAATGGATGCCTGCGTGATTGGATTATTTTAATCATTAATTCAACAATGGAACAAAGGCTGACTATTGACATGCAGCAGGTTAAATACAGGAAATCAAAATAGATGTTGTTCCTCAAGGCAAGGCAAGGCAAGGTAAGGCACGTTTATTTATACAGCACATTTCATACACTACTACAAAGTAAAATCAAGAAAATTAAAATATAAAAGGAATAAAAAGAGTATTCCTTTTATATGATACAGTCATAAATATATGATATAGTCATAAATGATTTAAAAGAGTAAAAAGATGATACATAGATAAACTTCTCAGAAATATATTGGACGTCTTTTTTCTGTCTAATCAACAAAGAATGCTAAGTTGTCTATTCCAGGAACCAAACATTGTTGGTATATGTAGTCAGATATATGTTTTTTTGCTTCACACAACTTGGAAATCCAAAAACACAAACACACACACACAAAACATATTATATGGGGGAAACATGGAGAAAGTGTTCTCATTGGGGACACATGTTTATGGGAAAGTATTAGAATTAGAAAAAAGATTTTAGGGGCAATTAATGATTTTAATAAAGAGGAGAGAATGGAAAATGGATCCAGACATAATTGGTGATGAGGATGACAACTATAACTCATCTTCATCTGATAGGGAATCATCTGACTAGTGACTACAAGTCATCATGAAGAACAAGAGCATTTAAATGAGGCACAGAAAAAGAATTAGCAAGAACAGGAATTTAAGGGATGGGCTTCATGTGCATTATATAAGCCATGGGGAAGATTTTGTGCTAATTCACACTTTTGGACAAGGTAATTGAAGATTCAGCTGACTGAAAGATATTTCAAGGAATTTGTTGACAATTAATACAGTAAGTATTTGCTTTCTCGCTGCGTAGTATTAGTTGGGTTGTGTTTGTGAACATTTTGTTTACAGCTTAATGATGTATTGTGAAAGCTTGGCAGTTTTCCCTTTGTATGATTGTATAAAAATAACTAAATGTTTCAGTGACCAAAGTCAGTCTTGATGACAGGCAAGGCAATTAGATGTCTTTAAATTATTCTGATTATTATTTTGTCTTTAAATTAGGTTTTCCTTTGAACTGCTTGTGTTTCCTGCACTATTAAATTAAAACATTAATGCTGTTTCTGAAATTTGCAGGATCTTTCTTTTGTCTGAATGTGAGCACTTCTTTCCTACTACAATGAAGACTGTGTTTGCTCTGCTGGCAGTGGCTGTGGGTATGTAGATATCTCTTCTTGATTATTATTTTCAATGTTTTACTGTCCTGTAGCCTACTGCCTATCTTTAACCTTAATATGATACAACATTTTACTGATACATACATGATAACTGATTATTATTAAATTATGAAAATTACAGACACATGTCAGAAGCATGAAACTTTAAAAAAATTACATGTGTATTTTTTAAACAAATCTCTGTTTTTTTCAGCTTGTTGTACAGGTAAGTTGTCGATCATTGGAGGTTATGAATGTTCAAAACACTCCCAGCCCTGGCAAGTCCACCTTACCAAGAATGGGAAATCCTGGTGTGGAGCATCTGTGATTAATGAAAGATGGCTTGTTTCTGCTGCTCACTGCTACGTTACGTGAGTATATCATACATTTATGTTAAACCTCATCAATCTTTTTTTTTCCTTATAGAGCAACTTTTTAAAAAGGAATAATAGCAGCTGCATGTTAAAGGAGTGGTTCACTTTAAAAAAAAACTTTTGCTGATAATTTACTCACCCCCATGTCATCCAAGATGTCCATGTCTTTCTTTCTTCAGTCGAAAAGAAATTAAGGTTTTTGATGAAAACATTCCAGGATTTTTCTCCATATAATGCACTTCAGTGGGAACCAAACGGTTCAATGTCCAAATGACAGTTTCAGTGCAAACTTAAACGATTCCAGACGATGAATATCAAGCAAAACGATCACTCATTTAAAAAAAAATAACAACAAAGTTTAAGTTTTATAATAAGTATAAGTATATATAAGTTTTGTGATGGGCGTTCGTGACTCGTTTATCAAAAGAAACAAATCGTTTTTCGAGTCATTTGGTTCATTCGTTCATTTTGATGAACGAGTTCGAACAGAAGAGTCACGAACGTGCATCACAAAACAGAGTAAGGTGACCATTTGATTTGAGCTTATAAAACTTAAACTTTGTTATTTTTTTTTAAATGAGTGATCGTTTCGCTTGATATTAATCGTCTGGAATCGTTTAAGTTTGCACTGAAACTGTCTTTTGGACCTTGAACCATAAAGTGCATTATATGGAGAAAAATCCTGGACTATTTTCATCAAAAACCTTAATTTCTTTTCGACTGAAGAAAGAAAGACATGGACATCTTGGATGACATGGGGGTGAGTAAATTATAAGCAAAAGGTTTTTTTTTAAAGTGAACTACTCCTTTACAGCCCATTCTCACCCCCAAGGCGTCACTTAACTGACGCCTTGGGAAGCATTTGACCATGCTTCAATATCTGACGCTTTAGGCGCCCTTTAGCGTCAGTTAGATGATGCCCTAGGATCGCGTGTACCCTACCCCCACCCCACACCTAAACCTAACCGCGTCCTCTAACCGACGCTTTCCTTTAGCGTCAGTTAGATGACGCCGTAGGATCGCGTCATGTAAGTGACGCTAGAGGGCGCCTAAAACGTCAAATATTGAAGCATGGTCAAAGGTGACGCCTTGGGGTGAGAATGCGTTGTCCTTTAACTGTTTGTGAATTGTGAATACACTGAAAATGATGATTGTAAAATGTAACAGATACAGAATTTTTAAACGAAAGGCTATTAAAAAAGTTACACATTCAATTCTAAAATAAAGATGAGAGTCCATTAACCAAACATTTGAGACTATCCATAGACATAATATGTAGGTATATATTGCTGATAAAAGTTGTATTAGAGCCCAGTAATTTATGAGTTGTTTGTCAAATAGAGCTTCTCGTCTTACTGTCCATCTGGGAGAGCACAATATCGACATTGAAGAAGGCACAGAGCAGCGGATCGGGGCAGAGAAAGTGATTCCTCACCCGGACTATAATGATAAAATGCTTAACAACGATTTCATGCTGATCAAGCTGAAAGAGCCTGCCATCTTCAACGATTATGTGCAGCCAATCCCTCTAGCAACCAGTTGCTCTTCTGCGGGGGATCAGTGCTTGGTTTCTGGATGGGGCAATCAGAACACCACTGGAGGTGAGATGGCTGAGTATTAAAACTTTTCTTTAATAACGTTTAATAATCATTGCATTCAAAGGTTTATATATATATATATATAATATATATATATATATATATATATATATATATATATATATATATGTATATACAGTAGTATTATACACAGCTATATTTTTTTTTAGTTTCCTTTCCTTCTACGCTGCAGTGTCTGAATTTGCCTGTACTGTCAAGGGCACAGTGTGAGGGTGCGTATGGATTGATAATAACTGAAAACATGTTCTGTGCTGGATTCATGAAGGGAGGCAAAGACGCATGTCAGGTACATTGACGTAGTCTTTATCTATATATTATATATTTTCATGAAGACGTTCTTTTAATTTTCCCATTTTTTTCCTCAGGGTGATTCTGGCAGTCCTCTAGTGTGCAATAAGGAACTTCGAGGAGTTGTTTCCTGGGGTAATGGCTGTGCTCAACCTGGCTATCCTGGGGTTTATGCTGAGGTGTGCCGCTACACTGACTGGGTCAAGTCCACCATTGCTGCTAACAACTAACTGTTTGTTTAGCCTGGTTTACAGGAAAAAAATTCTGTCTTAAATATCTAAAATTAAATTCAGCTTGAAACATGAAAAAGTATGTCTGTGTTATATTTTGAAATGGACATGAAACAGAAGTCTCAAACAACAAAATATGTAGTGAGTCACTTGATTTTTTACCAGTGAATTGATTGGATCGTCGTGGTTTAGCTATATTGATCGATCTCATGTGAGTGACAGGTTGTCCCGCCCTCGTGCCATGGAAACGTCATCTGAGAAGAATAGAGATTGTCGTTGCAAGAGGGAGAGAAGTTATTTAGATTAAAAATTATGAGGCCACATGAACATAAAAAACAAGTGTGCACAGCACAGATAAATCCTTTATATCAACTATTGTGCAATATTCCATAATTGTGAAAACACTATAAAATTAGTTTTTGTAAAATGTAGACATATGATAGTGGTAAATATAGCCTGGATATCTATTTGAATATAGGCTCAATGTGAACTTATTACGCTAGCATTTCCCATATTGCTGAAAGATATGAAACAGTTGTAGAAACATCAGTTGACAGTGCACAATCCCTATGTGCACAATACATTTTGATGTTCAGTGTTATTTTGTTTTATTTCGTTTTCTGAGGAACTAATAGAGTGCCGAAGTTACGACGTCACTCTGTAGGCCAAAACACGAAAGTGAGTTAGCATTTTAGCAATAAAGTCTAGCTGTTTCCGAAATCGCCCTCTACATAGTGGACTATATCGTGAGCTCGCCATTTTGTAGTGCTGTACGAATGTATAGTGATGATTATTATACCCTATAGTCCACTCAATGTATCCCAGAATGCATTTTGAAAAGTAGTGTACAACCGATGGTCACTAACCCAAGCCCTACATACCATCATGAATGGCTGATCATAAAAATGGCGGACGGGCGACAGCAATGACGTAATCAACGTCGCCGAGAGGCGACGATCGAGTAGCTAGTGTCTGAAAGTGGTGTTTCTACTATGCTGGTGAGCTCACTAGGCTATATAGTGCTTTGGCACAGCGGGATTTTTGAATGGATTTTTGCAAAATCGCCTGAAATAAGGTCTGTGGTGAACAAAGCCTCTAAATATTTTCACGTTTTGATCTATGACATAGAACACACAGTTAACCTGCTTGTGTTTTTTTTAATTTATTGTGTCTTTTTGTGTTTTTTTAAACTTTATATAGGCTTCAAAATATATACATTTTGGATTAACTTGTAAAGATTATCTTGATAGACAAAACGTCACAACTCTTCTTCAGATCTTATTTTTTGCGATTTTCCAAAAGTCTATGGGGAAAATGCATAGCTTTTCGATCGAGGGAACCCATGCGCCGCTAGCTTCCGAGTTGTCCTACAAAGTGACGTCATCACTTCGGCACAACATTCTTTTTTTGTGAACTACAACTCCCACATATAATATCTGCGTGACGTCACACAACTTGCGTCCCAGTGTTGTGATATGGCGGCGATCTCGCATAAAGCCCATTAGATAAAGGCGCAACCAATGGGTTAGGAAATACTGCATTGGAAAGATGCTGGGATGAAGAAAAAAAAAAATCAATATCAATCGGTGAGTTTGGGGTTTATATTAGTTAATACATAGCTATATGCATGCATGCCTTTATGGCTCTGCACACAACCACGCACAGACAGGAGCCATATAAGAAGCAGTTTTGCACACAATGGGTTAGAACAGCAAAGCCGCATATTAGCGAAATATTGAAGGATATACCCACTGGACGAGTGAGATTAAACAGCCATTTTATTGTAGTCGTGTTTATTTCGACTTCCCTTTCCTTCTTTGTTCAGCTTATTTTAACCATAACCCCTGCACAGTGGGCTGTGTCTCAAAACCTAGTAGTGATGTACCTTCATAGACCATCAGGCAGATTTGTGACATCAGTATCCACTTGCTCTGGATTCTATGTATTGTAGACCATACCTAGACGATTTCTACATTAATTTGTTAATGTTACAGTTTAAATTATGTATAGTCCAAAATCACTTTAATAATAATAATCAATTCATTACAGATGTATAGCCCTTTTCTCTGCACTCAAATCGCTTTACATAGAAGGGTGAATCTCCTCAAACACCACCAATGTGCAGCATCCACCTGAAAGATGTGACGGCAGCCATAGTGCGCCAGAACACCCACCACACACCAGCTTACTGGTGGAGAGGAGACAGAGTGATGAAGCCAATTGGTATATATATGGGGATTAGGAGGCCATGATGGACAGAGAACATTGGGCAAATTTTGGATTTTTTGTGACCACAGAGAGTCAGGGCCTCGGTTTAATATCTCATCCGAAGGACGGTACTCTTTGACAGTATAGTGTCCCCTTCACTATACTGGGACATTAGGACCCACACAGACCACAGGGTGAGCACCCCTACTCGCCTCACTAACACCTCTTCCAGCAGCAATCTGATTTTCTCAGGAGATCTCCCATCCAGGCACTAACCAGGCTCAAAGATTAGATAAATTGCCCTTTCCGCTGTTTGTGTCCGTGCCGGTGACCATGTGCAGCAGGTGTGTCCTTGTTTGTGTGTCTGTCCCAGTGTCCGTTTCCATGCTGGTGCCCATGCCAGTGTTCGTGGTGGAGACTGTGCTGGTGTCCTTGTCCATGCAACATCTGTGGGATTACTTCATCAGAAATAAAAAAAAATAAAAAAAAGGAACAGTGACAGTCAACAGAGAGCTTATATCACTTATATAAAGCTTGAATGATCTGAATTGGTATTGCTTGATCGCGATGACAAGTCAGTTGTCCAAATCAGCTGCAAAAATCCTGACCGGAGCATCCCTAAAATGTATACTTCATAAATATTGCATTTTCTCATTATGGGAACCAATGAGTATGGGGCCTGAAAATAAAAGAATATACAAAATAGAGTTCATAGGAGAAGGCTCTGTTTCTAAGAGTGAACAACTAGTTGGATGCATAGCCATAGAAAAGAGCAGACAGAGGTAAAGAAACATGCAAATAAAAAACTTTGACTGAACCACTTTTGTTTGGTTAATGTTATATGGATGCTGATGCATGTCATATATAACTATAATACATTTGTGGAGTTTTGTGCAATTAGTTAGGCTAATTATTCACACAAAAATGATTGTTTATTTAATAAAAAGTGAAGCATTTACAATTAAATATAGAAAACAGGTGGGCTTAAATTATCTTGTCACGGTTAAAATTACAAAGCAATTTAATTCTGTCACTTTATGATCTTTAGATGAAATATTCGTATTACAGTCCCACTAATAGATGAGTGTTCAAATATCTTTAAGAAGTTATGATGACTGGGCTTAATAAACACACTTCCACTACCATGCTAATGATTAAAGATATTTACATAGTACAATATATGTGTACTATGTAACCTATGTACTCTTACCTTCATTAGTTAACCTGAATAATTTCTTTCTGTTTTAGGAGAACTTTGGAGATCTGAGTTCAATTGACCATTGAATTTCACATCAGAAGTTAAGCATCATGGAACATGCTAATGACCCACTCAGTGAACCTTCTGCTCCTGAAGCAAATCTGCACAATGCGCACCTTTCACTTTCAGACCACCCATCTCCTTTGGAAGCACTATTAGATAATACTGTACATGGAATAGAGGCTACAGAAAGTACAGATCAAACCAATGGTCTTGAGTTGAAACTGGACCTCTATGTCCCAGCACCACCAATAATAGAACCTATAACCCCCGTAGAGGAAACAGTGGAGCACTGCGCTTTTCCTGTGGCAAAACAAGATGACAGCACACAACCTGAAGCCGTTATAGAGGAAACAGATGAAACTGCTGATGTTGAAGGATTGCATTGTGAAAATCAGTCAAGTCTGGCTGAGTCGAGTTCAGATACTGTGACTGAAGTGGAATGTGAGCGTGCACTCAACGAATCTGGCTCATCAGACTCTAATGCTGCAAGTTGTGTGCCTGAAGAGCCCATGAGCTCCAATGAAACACCAAATATGTGTGCCAACACTCAATCATCAACTGGAGGTACAGCACAAAATGCCGACAGAAAGAACATCCCTCCAAAGAAGGACAAATTTAACCCTCTGAAACTTGACATGGCCAAAGTAATTCCTCTCACCTGTAAGTTATTTAACACTTATCAATGTTTCCTTAAAGAGCCATTCTTATAGTCCTCATATATTTAGAAATGTATGAAATCCAAATTTATTTATTTTTCTTTGAAATTTGTCTTATTTTGAAGGATTAAATCACGTGGCATTTTTTTCTATTATAGGTCATCTATATGTCATAACAAGCTCTTTCTGTGATTCACTTCTCTCTGCTGCAGTTAGGCCAATCATTTTCAAATCTTTCCCTTCCAATATGTAATGCTCGCTTTTCTTAATACGATCAACAACCAATGTATAAAATCAAGTCACACCCTACACTTAAAAAAAAAAAAAAAATTACTTAGAAAACGTCACAATTGCTGTAGTAAAGTCTATAACAAAAGTTTCGTGTCTGTTTGGAGTCAAGTACAATTTTGTTTGCTCTAGCAATTTGTTCTTTTCTAACATGCATTGTTTTGTTTTATCACACTGATTTCTAGCATCCCAGCTCTCACTACAATGCCTAGACTGTCACATCATCTTCAGTGACTCCAAAAGCAAAGATCGGCACCTTAAAATGAGCCACCCTGCAGAATATCAGCAGTGCATGCTGGGAGATGTTCTCTTTACATGCTATGTTTGTGATCAGCATTTCACCTCCTCCACAGAGCTTATGGCCCATCAACGCACACACACTGGTAACGAGCGGTTCAAGTGCCCATTCTGTAGTGAGGCCTTCTACCAATCCTGTGATCTAACGAGTCACAAAAAAAAAATTCACTACAGCAAACATGGATACACCTGTTCAGAGTGTGACAAGCCTTTCAAAACCTTTACTTTGCTCAGATACCACCAACGGGTACACACAGCGGAAAAGCCATATGTTTGCTCACACAAACACTGTGGTAAAAAGTTTTCTGCATCCAAGTCTCTTCAGAACCACTTAGAAAAACACCACAA